CGCTACTATATTGTATAATAACCACTCTTCTATATTGTCTATCGACCACGCTACTATATTATATAATAAACACTCTTCTATATTGTCTATAGACAACGCTACTATATTATATAATAACCACTCTTCTATATTGTCTATAGACCACGCTACTATATATTTTACATCAACTCACTACTTTGTTATACATAAACCGCGCTACTACAATATATATAAACCATCCTGCTATATTTTAAATAAACTGCGCTACTTGATTAAATATAAAGCTAATATTATAGAATAAAAACATACATTTTTCTGATCGTCCGCTAGGCCTTTCTGCCTTTCCACTCTTCTATATTATATATAATTCTAGCTTTTATAGCATATCTTAACCGCGCTACTACAATATATATAAACCATCCTGCTATATAATACATAACCGCGTTACTTTATTAAATATAAAGCTAATCTTATATATATATATATATATATATATAGAATAAAAACAAAAAATTCCAGATCGTCCGCTAGGCCTTTCTGCCTTCTAGGACTTCTTCAGGCGGATTGATGTTTATTTATCACCGTTGGTTACATGACGTCATCAATATTTGTATAGTCAACAATTTTAGTGACGTCATAAATAAACAAGCATAGTGACGTCACAAACAATACCAAGACAGAGAAAACATCTACATACAATACATTGCAAAAATCATTGTGCATTCAGGCTGGGTTTGAGGACCTTTATAAACATATTTTCTTTAATTTCTCTTGCAACTACATCGTCGCTATTCAGTTTGTAAATAGGTAACACATGAAAATCATCTTTAGAACATCGATGCATATGTTTGCTAACTTTTAAAAATCTTAGTTCATTGTCCTTCATTTGTTGTCTATGTACATTCATTCGTATTCTCAATTCACATCCGGTCTGTCCGATATAAAATTCACCACATTGTTTACATATTAAAGAGTAAATAACATTCTTAGAATTACAGTTAATGTCTGATCTAATTTCTATTTTGGAACCATTTGCAAAAACGTAGTCTTTACATTCAATGATAATCTTACATGTATCTTACATCTTATATATATATATATATATATATATGATAAAAAGGGATTAAATGTCCATGTGAAGGAAGTAAATATAGAAAAAATAAGATTAACGACCGACTAAAAAACTAGCTGCTTTCACCCTTCACAGGGCTCTTCAGGTTTATTCAAAAGATTGAATAAACCTGGACATTTAATCCCTCTAATGGAGGTATGTCCGTAGGAATTACTTCTTTACCCCATATATATATATATATATATATATATATATATACCACTCTTCTATATGTTATATAAACCTAGCTTTTATAGCATATCTTAACCGCGCTACAATATTGGATATAAACCACGCTACTGCGTTATTTATAAACCGCGTTGCTTTTTTATATCTTAACCTCGATATTAGATTATTAACTACAGTATTGCTTCTATTTCCTATCTGAACTGCACTACTCCATTGAACAGAAACAACTCTAAATACATTTATTATATGAATGCATTCAAAAATACAAAATAAATGAATCCACAAACAAATGTATGATTGTTTTAATGAGCAGATTTTTTTAATTTCATTTTGACACTCATAATGCCTCTTTGGATATCATACAATGTCTGCACGACTCTAACAATATAACACATGATAGGTTATACACTGGACGACATAAACAAACATTTTGATAATATGACTATGGTAACAATAAAATATACTAATAAATGAGTCTTATTAGTACATGTACATCACATTCTAACTGTTCACAGTTATGCGTCGTCAATCAGCTTGTGTTATGCATACGGGTTATATAAAGTACAACCAATAAAAAGTAGTTCAAAGGCAATACATTACAACCCTTAATCTACCTTACGTGGTATTACAATCTAGTCTAATGACAAACTCTCTGAAACGTTCCAGACAGAGCGACAACCCTTAATCTACCTTACGTGGTATTACAATCTAGTCTAATGACAAACTCTCTGA